TCAATAATTTTACAAACATTTCATYTTTTTTTWAATTGTGCATCTTAATTCTTAGCATCAGGCTTCATGGAAAAGGCACATCTAATATACTGGGAATAAAATGGGAATTCCGTTAACTTAATATACACTAATTATTATAAATAGTYCTAGCACATACAAATATAGGCTGCGGTCTGCTTTTAATCAATTAGCACACTATTTTCATGCTTTAATTTGACATAAAAATATTAATAAATTCCAATTTTTTCTCTTTTATTTGTTTAAATAAGATACAGTTGACAACGCCGCTAAAGTCGTTGAAAACGCATATAAACTCGCGAAAAACTTCAACAGAAGGAATACTCAAAATTCAAAATTAATAATCAAAAATTCGTAAAAAATGATGCATTCAAATTTCTTTAAAATGCTGAGGCTTTAGARGCCTTTAGATGTTAATTGAAGAAAATTAATTACAGTTAATACAGTTGAAAGAGAATGAAAGAACGAGCATCTTTATAGAAGCAATTACTATTTCAGTCAGTTATGGACTGAAGATGTCGAAGATGTCGAAAACAACATTTACCGATAGTGTAATAAAGTGAAAATGGGTGAAAAATAAATAAGTAAAAAAACTAAAATTAATATTAAACAAACATGCTTAAACAAAAGTTGGCAAACTTTCAGTTGTCAGCTTTACACGGAAGGTTCAAAAGATTGAATTCGAATGGATAATAAAAGGGTTTAGTTTGAAGTGCCGTCACACCACATAAATGAGAATTTTCTTTATAGTGCCCAGGATTCCTAATCGTATAAACTATAATCAACAGAGCAAAGTATGTGAGTCCACATGATGTCTGATTGATATCGTATCAAAAAGTTTCCTCTCTGCATGAAAGCAGATTCAAATCATTTCGGATTAAGAGCCCATTACTACGAGGAGAGTCCAGGTACATACAAAAGAGTCAGTGTCATGGCGTTTTCGCAGACGTGTCTATTTTTAGATTTTTCTTCCGTCGTCTCTTCGCTATTGCTTTCTGCAGAAASACTATTCGCTTTCACTATCATCAGCCACGTTTGATTATTATTTTATTCTAGTTCCCGTGGATTTCCCGCGCGCGTCAGAACCGGAAGTGACTCCTCATTGGTCATAAGTAATCTAAAAATAGACGCTGTGACCAAACCCTCTACAGCACATTTTGGACGCTCCTAGTAATGGGCTCCTGTTCAGGTTTAGTTTCTAGGGCGATTCATTGAGGGCTAAAGCATTCGTACAAGATTTGTATGTCTCCTTTTAAAGAAATTGAATTGACAACATTCTATTGTCTTTTACTCTATCAAATCGCCCAAACATTCCTTTGTTTTAACGTCAAGTGTTATGGTTACCAGAAAAGGACAGAGTAGCGGTAAGACGAAGACACTATAAATACTAGTGTCATTGCTATCATTGATAAATATTACAYTTGAAAACTAGAAAATCTGAGTCGGGATGTTCAAAGCCTGATTAGCGTTAATCCAGGGTTRGGTTTTTCATGACTTGACCCGAACCTAGGATTAGCGCTATTTCGAKCTTTGAGCRACTMGGCTCTAAGGTTCAACTTACGAAAAACAGAATATTTAGTACATATTGAGTTTTGATTCTGTCCCCATGCTTTGTCATAAAGAGTTAAGTATTGGAAATAACACAAAAAGTTTACCAGTACCGAAGAAATAAGCAGAGGAAGTTAAAAAAAAAACCGTGAAACATACTAGTCTAATAGACCTTGTTATGCTCTATATTYACCATTAGTTTCTTTGGTGTCTATTTGACTAACATAAACTGTTAAATTTTGTTTCACGGGTTTAATGGCCTCACACTATTTCATCAAAGTTTTCTGAAATCCATACTATGCCATAAAACCAACCTCATATGGTTTCTACTTAGTTACTATTTAGTTATCATTAGACATGGCTTACCATTGTTGAATGTGAGTGAGGGTRCGCCCTWCAATTCGTTGGGTAGCCTTGCAACAAAAGTATGTCGMACACAGCTCCACAACGAAGCGATTATATTCACTGTCCATTTGGCCACGTCGTAGAAAGGGAAACCCAAAGAACCTTGCTTTCATTATAATGAGGCTTTATTTCATATTCTACGAAGTAAAGCAAAAAATAATAAAATGTTTCCTGTAATACTCCAATTTCGAGTTCTGGTTTTGCTCTGTGTTAGCCTCAAAACCAAGTAAAATATTCTWTTGTTTTATTAGTAGCCCGAGAAAATGCATGGAATTTGTGAAGAAAAACAATTAAATTTATTTGAAATCTCACACTTTTATTCTCACAATTAGGAATATTTTGCGCACAAATGAGGCTAACACAGAGCATTGCAGAATTCGAAACTGGATTATTGCTTCTCCATTGCTCTATCAGTTGTTGCCAAATTTGCGCGGGAGTGACTAAAAACGYTAACCTGAGTAGAAACTATGATTGTCAGGGGGAGGGAGGGGGATAAGTAATGCATACTAGTTTTTTGCGACATCAATCGTGATCGAGCCATATTGGATATCATTAGTAGAACAATAAACTGAAATATTATTTCCCTCACATTTCCTAGATAAGCGACAATCATTCTTGACATCAAACTTAACTACACTAATAGGGGACGTATTCTATGCACTCTTCTCTCTTTTTTCTTTGCCCCGCCAACTCCGCTTCATTTAGAGTTCCCCTAGAYAGGGACATGTATCTTTTACAATCACTTTATGGGTTATTTTATTTACACCATGCACTAGCTATTCTTAGTATGCACAGTCACTACAAATGATATGACAGCTATGTTATATGACATTAGGAGCAAATGGTGTACAACAATATGGCGGCAGTGACGTCATATGCAAGCCGAGTATGTGAAAAAACGGTATGGAAAAAATACATTGTGTGTCGGTAAGGGACTGAAAAAATCAAAGAATAAGTCCACAGAGCATTCGTATTAMAAAGAAAGCTGAGCCTGCGCGGTCATTGCAATGATTATAATCATAATAATAATGATGACGATGATAATAACAATGATGAATATATAGGATATTATTCACTTGTCTCAGGAGGATTGTCAGCTTATGACGTTACAAGAATTGGTTTAATATGGTTGCGTTTATGCGCGCATCCAGAAACATTCGAAATCGCATACCAGTTTAGACCTACACCGGACTACCGAAAAACGATGACCTTATAAGGAGAATTTTCGAAAAAAAACGACTGTTGTTTTCGTGAAAACGCATATAATAATATACTGTTACGAAAATGTCCGGATATGTGTGAACGCRGCCTCAGTATCTTTTCAATAACCATCCATCATAATCATCTTGCAACAACATACAATAATGAGAATTGACACAAAAGGTACATGGAGCAACTATATATCATTGTTTACTTAAAGGAAAAAACATACAGAGAACAGCGTTAGCAAAACCTCACACTAACTATCTAGGGGATTATAAAATTCTTTACAGTCAAAAGATATGAAGCGCGCCCCACGAATAGTTCGTTATTCAATACATTATTGGATTTTTCATTTTATTTTTCGTTTTCAAACTTCAGTTGATTAATGCAAAATTAAATTCAAATCTCGAACTACGATAATGACAGAAAACAACACAACATTTCCAGCTTTTTGAGACCGTCATTCCTTTCTCACGAGAAGGAACAGATCCAACCAAATTAACAGACAGCATATTGCAATGCATCGGCTTGTGGAAATTACTAAAGACCAGCATGAAGCTGATGAAGTCACCCCCATACCACCAAACCTCGTTTACAGCAGGGATAGAACGACCAAAAAGTTCATTGCGTTCATGGAATGCACTGTCTTCAGTATTCAAAGTTTTCTGTAATAGCTGTTTGTTTTCAAAATTACGTCAAACTTTATATTAGCTTTATAGTATATCATGTTATATATTTACATATTAATTTTTTATTTTTTTCCCCCATTTAAGCGCACAGTTTTGGGCGGCTTTGTTTGAAAAGACCTAAACGAAATCTGTCCTGCAACAGCGATTTTTTATATATATTTTTTCGTTGATGAGATACCTTATTAATGCACTGTATTTCGTGAACAATCAGTCGTAAGAATAAGATAGCACATGAACTTAACTAAGCGTACAGTTTGACCAGCGGATATACTCTGGAAAACAAAATGGCGTTGACATCATGAAGAAATCAAAATTTTACGTATGACTACACGCATGACTACATTTGTCCATCTAACTAGCAAATCATCCAAGGTACCAACTCTCTGTTACTTTGCTAATAACGATTTTAATTATTCTTGGACTTTTTGATTGCATTCAGGTACGATATTTGTGTGAACATGCTCGCACCGTGGGGGGTGGATTGAGCAATAAGACCATATCGTGGATTGAGCAATAAGACCATATCATCGATTTTATACATTTGACAATATTATGGAAATATATTCATCATTTTCATATGGAAGAAATATCACAAATAGGTATTTKTGGAAAGTTTTAAAACTATGGACTAGATACTAACGAAGTTATGTTTTATGAAATTCTTTTCCGATTCCTTGGTAGCCTCGTTTTGGTGTTTTTGTGACTCTTCTCATCCTTATAACTTCAAGAGAGTTTAAGATTTTTCTTTGAAACTTTCAGAACTTATCATAAGCTTTGATATCTATTAGTCTGAGTGTTTTCTTTTGTGAATATTACGAGTTAAACGATAATATGCTTATCCGTGTCGGCCAATATGAAAGTCAATACATAGTCTGCACATCTTCACGATAACAATAGGAAACCAAAGAACGCAGACCATGAATGACTTTATCTAAGTCAATAACGGTGGCATTTCGAATCTCCAAAACAACTACATATTTTATTGGAATTAGGTTAAATTTGGCAAAAAGGCTCTTGTACAATTACCGCGGATATGAAGCGTCGACAGGTAACATTCGTAAAGTCGATAATACCCTTGATTCATGATTGGCTGCGGCGGTGACGAACAAGTTAAAGTAATTACCGTACCAAAGAAGATCGTTTATTTTCAGCGCATCTGGCCCAATATCCTCATAAATAYATCATATAGGTGTGAGGAATTAAGCGCTTATTTAGTTTTCCCCTCTGCCGCTGTCTTTTTGGATCTCATTAAGTTTYTGTAGTGAACAGTCTTTTGTTTGGCTGTCAGGTCAAGCGCACTTAACATTCTCGCAAATCTGCTGATATGTGGATACGGTATTTGAAAGACACCGACGTTAACAAGTAAGCTGGCTAAAAAAAGGTATAATTGATCTAAAAACGAGACAAAGGGCCTCGATTCCTGCTGAGTTTGTGGCTTAAACGTTAATGGCTCGATAAAAAAAATTAGAAGGCATTGAAAAGATATGAAAAAGTTTTTTTCTTAATTTTGCGTTTCCATAAGTCCAGTCATCACATCGCCCACCGATGATTGGAACACCCATTGGTGAGACACWGGCTACGGAAATACGGGGACTTTTCTCCCCCGATAGATGAACAATGAAAGGATTTTATCTTATGCTATATTAATTCATTAATAACTAAAATGCTTACGCAGTAGCACACGGGGGTAATGCTTCATAAGTGAACGGGGCGTCGAGAAGGAAAATTATTYCCTTCTTATTTCCACCACAACCAAARCTTACCAGAATGGAAAACAATATATTTGCTTTGGCAAAAACAGGGATATTGTATTTCGAAGAGTAGAAATTGGTTATTAGGCAATCTGACGGCCAACAATAAATGACGGCCATATGCACGAATGATTGGGTAATACTTGCAAAAAAAAAAAAAAAAAAAAGATGAATTGCAGTTGATTTTCTTGACATATGGCACTTAGAGGATGCCGTATAGAGAATTAGAAAGTTCTATTTGTTCGACATCGTACACGTTTCAACTACAGGTGAGATTTGACATACACGCGGAACTAATCAGAGCCGGGATGAGATCACCTCATTCATTAAKTGGCCGAAAACGTACTGAAAATCGCCACTTTTTACATTTAACATGAAAAACCTAGTTGTAATCACTTCACAAGATGTCGAAAACTGGTTGYAAGTCGTTGTAGATGTCTATTCAATCTCGATATCATTGCTATAATCCKTCTCCTTAGGGTTATAAGTCAAAATGACACTTTTATCCAACCTGTGTACACACAAAAAAATAGCCARCCTACTTTGTTTTCGACAGATCAATAATAGGCAATTTTAGTTTGTCTGCGTTCTGTCTGTCGATTGTAGTCTTAGGTTAAAAGATGGTTGATAATTCATAAGATAAAATATAGCAATTAAATTTTCATCAATTTATGCATGCTCATTTTGCGGCGGAGATATGAGCTGAGCATCGCTTATACCATGGGGACGTCCGACTGTCTGACTTTTGGAAATCAGCTCCAGCCTTGGAGTCAACTGATTCATTGCAATAACTGGATTATTATGTTTTATTTTTATCAATATTTTGTATGTCACTTCTGGAACAAAACAAACCCCCTCGCTGGCCTTTCCTTTATTTTCTTCTTTTTTTTAATAATTCAGATTATGCTGGAAGTTTGACGTTACGCAGCGAGACCCTCGAAGCGAAATAAAATTGAACACCTCTTTTTTTATGAACACCGAAACGAGTAACATTGAACAACGACCCAAATAAAGGAAGTACAAAAAAAAGATCGAACTTACAAACAAAACCTGTTTTAATAGAGTATCAGTCGAATGACGAAATGACATCTCCGCAATCTGACCGAGTGTTTTTTTCTCATCGCATGAAGTGTTTTGTAGTTGGGATTGAAAGAAGTTATGAATTTTCACCCAAGGGTTCTTATCTCATAATAAATGATGTCGCTTAAATTATGCGTTTTGTTGACTTCAATCTATCAAAATTTCCCGAAGGGGTCAAGTAGTCGCTTCATCCAAAACACGGAAACAYACAAGACGGACTTCGCGCCACGACACTGATGAGCGCAGCGCGGGAAAAATAACGTTTTCTTAGCATTGAAATACACCGACTTAATTCGTTCATACATTTTTAAAGAATCTTCCCTTTTTCTACTGTTAGGTGTTTAAAAATACCGTAGAACAGAGAGCGGCTTTAACCGTATAATGTTCCCATGCATAATAAATGTTTGGGAACCCCTCGACGGAGTGGTTAAAGAAGTGAGTACAAATACAAAAACAGTGATGGTATCTGCTTTCCACAAATTCACCGCAGTCAAATGTCTAAAAGTTGGATAATGATGCCAATTAGGCAAATCTGGACACTTGTCATGACAAATAGTGCGAGGCTTGTCATTTGAATCAAACTGTGCCATCACTTTCAAAATGGCTCAATAAATTTCGAACAAAAGTACCAGTTCTAAGTCAGCAAACAAGCGGTAAACCATACTCGACTCAAACACCCGTAAAAAATAGACTTTTCGCATTGATCGAATTCATTTTCCACTAGCCTTGGAATCTGTGATTGGTCGCCAGACAGAACTATCAGTGAACTTAAATGATAGCCAAACATTCCATCCATAAAATTCATGTAGGGATTTCGGTCTACTCATTAAATCGTTTGTCAAACAAACATTCTCTTTTAAGGAAAACATTCTTCTTGAAAGTTCCATCGCTTCAGTAGCTAACTTATACATTCTGAAGACAAAGGGAAGGAGAATAATTCATAAAGTTAAGCACTATTAAGCCTTTCTGAAAATCAAATGGGGATTTTCCTCGAAAAAGATACTATGTACAAATTGACATGTATGTGTGACATGTTGAAGGCCAATACCCGGTTACTAAGACACAGCCAAACCTATTCAAAACCTTCTCATTTAAATTACGATTACATACACACAAAGGCGTCTAAATAATTAATTATAAAGTCAATCTAGTTTACTCAGAAATGGTAGATAATAATATAAAGCTTTTAGGACGCTTGTTACATGTCAAGGAGTTCTGTTTTTTTTTACTCGATGACTACAGTTCAATTGACTGAAACGAATGATTGGAATCAGTTCAAAACTAACTTGTTACCCCCCGTGTCGACTCGACCGAAGTAAACATATTAACCAACAACCCATACGATTCAATAGCATTAACCGTGGACTCGGCATAACAGCGCGTCTTGTCTTAGTTACCAAGTCAGCGATAACGCACATTTACAGGCGCTTTTTCAGGAAAAGCTGGTGTAATCATTCATGCTGTCGTGGGATTTTACAGTTTGCTARCGCGTAAGCAGCTCAAGACAGCACAAATCCGTCATTTATAATGTTTTATGGTGTTCATTAGGGCCGAACATATCCCGTAAACACTATTCACAGAAGCATTAGAGGCTGTTGGAGTACGAATTGAAAACCTCTTTGTGTTCAAAAGGGAATTGATACTTCGGTATTCAATCTTATGAATGTGTTGGCAATTTCTTCATTTTTGTAAAGAGCAGGTGATTTGGGCTATGCAATGATTGACAGGTGAGCCTTTTGCCAAAACTTGTGATTGGCTTCCTAAGGCAATAACCGCTGATTCTACTTGTGAATGGTGTAAGGTCGTCGAGCTGTGTTTCATTGCAGTAACACTTCTAAGGAGTCAAGTCTTGGCGGTCGGTGGTGTCACACTGACAATAACAATTTGTTCCATTTGGCTGTTTGTTGATACCAAGATTGTAAAAACCACATCCAAATAAAGTACTCATTGTACATGGAAGGTGCATTGTTGGAATTTCGACAAGACTGAGCTRTAGACATGAACTCCGTTAATTTATCAATACACATATTTAACCTTCGACTATTATGAGACCAAACTAGCAGTCATTGGATGAACTATATGCTAAAGTACGGCGGGAAAGTATTCAAAGAATAACCAGTACAACATGCCTATCCGACGAGGCCGCTATGCGCCGCAAAACACTTTCTTGGAGACAATCGCCCAGAAGTTTGACCATGGAAGTAAGTGTTTGGTGACTGTTTAAAAATGTTGTTCGCTCGTGGTTAAATCAATAAGCTTGAAGCACGGTGGGTTGATAAATAAAGAGTGTTACTGAGTCTTGACTAAAGGAACGGTATCTCAATCACAGCAACCTCGCAGAAAATACGCTGTGTTTTCTGCATGTGTGTTGTACACTATGGCATTTTCATTTATCTATATTTTACTTTTTATTCGTCTTTTCTAGACAGCAATTTCGTTCTGGGAAGCGCTCAGGAAAAGAACAACTATCCTATTGTTTATTGTAGCGATGGTTTCTGCGAGTTGACTGGTTTTTCTAGGAGCGATTTAATGAGACGGAGTTGTGCTTGTAATTTTCTCTATGGCCTCGAATCCAACCACGAGGACATCCAAAGCATAGAAGCCGCTCTACGATCTCAGAAGGAACTCAAAAAAGAAATCTTATTTTACAAGAAGAATGGTAAGCTCAGTTAGAATTATCACAGCTTTTTATCTCCTTGCAGATTGATAATTATAGGCCTAGAAATCAGTTGCGCACGAAGATTGTTTTGAATGGTCCAAGTTTTGTTATGCGATTTAAAGGTACATTGATTTGAAAATATACCGATGCGACTAAAATAATACAATAGGGGTATTTTCCCTTGTTAATGAAGGATTTTTAGCACCCTACAGCGGTTTTATTTTGGTTTGTCGATATGGAATTAATTCCATAGTCATTCGAAAATACTGACCCTAATATCCATAAACATATTCTGTATATTCGTATAAATGAAAGGTGACTGACTTAAATCTTGTACAATGCTCTAGAAAAATCGAAAACACGTATGTTTAAAATCCACAGTAAAACAAGTGGGATTGTCGTACTACTCTTGCATTTGTGTGTTAATAAAATATTAAAGGTTCGCCTAGGTATGGTATACAATACTCCGGACAAAATCCTATAGACAATCATTCAACACACGTGTAAGTTAAAAAAAAACCCGAACATCGAGTATGGAAATGAGATGAGGCGCTTTTAATATAATTACRAATATTACCACATGGATAATATTTTCACTTCAAACTGCAGAATTATTCTCTTGAGGAGAGRTTTATATACACATCGGATACTACTGCGAACGATCGATCATATACTGTTGGTTAAATAATATACAAAGCTTAAAGAAAAAGAGTCATTTGAAAACATCCAAATCATTGTTTTGTCGAATAGACTCGACTCGAAAACGGAAATGCGTTTTTGACTTCACTTCGATTGTGTTCAGTATTAGACATTCAGTACATAGCGCATTCAGAAGCGTGTGTATTTTATCGCGAAAGTCGTTTTGCAAACGCTATCAAAAATAAGAGATTGATACAGGGTTATCACCTTGTGATAGAGGCTATTTTTCCGCGCGGTTTTACCGTGAACATATATGTTGTTATGGAAAGTGTCTGCGGTTGAACCGTAATATTGTATCAATGATCATCAAAGAAGGTGATTTTTTTTTAAGTCGGATAGATTTGAGTCATCGAATCAAACGCCTATAAGTTACCGCAAAAGATAGCCTTAACCGAGAATTAAGTATTGACTTTGACTGCGTGGTCGAGATTCTATAAAGGTAGAGCATGATTCGTCATGAAGTCGTCACGTCAGGGAAATATAAATGATATCAATCAAAWTCGAAGCAAAATACGATAAAAAAGAGTGAAATGTAATTATTTCCATTCTATTTATTCCTCGAATTAGAGACTCATAATTTGTTTATAGCAAACAACATGGCAGATAAATTTGTACCTATCAGTCAAAGCACAACCTGTAAGAAAGATCGATGTTTTTGCTTGTGTCCGCTGAAAAACAATAAAACAAAAACAAGAAAAAACATAAAACGTTCAAAAAATGCGATAAGACAGAAAGGGATTAATCTTTRGGGATTAAAGACTTTGAAAAAACTCCAAAGAGATGGTATTTTCGCTAGGCTGATTATAGTAAAAAAAAAAACATCTGATATCAAAATGTGTTCAACTAAACAATGATGGAATATTGATGACAARAAGTGCTTAAATTTTCATTCATCGTCGCGGGAGAATAATTTCAACAAAGTGGGAAGAAATGCGAATGACGACTTACATATTGTTTAAACATGAAAGTTTTACGAGAACAAAATGTAACTATGGACAGCTAAGTGGCTTATTAAATATCTAAATGCGGTCAACCAAGAGTTTGGTGTCAATCCAAGCTAACATCTATCGTGTTCACGGATTTGACGGGCAAAATGAGTGCGTGTTCCAGTGGTTCATAGTAGTGACCGCCGAGTATTTATTTACATTCGCTTATGCATTGAACTTTGTTAGAAAAAAAAATGAAAAAAAAAACAACAAAACACACGCACACACTAGATCAGAATATATCTTTAAAATATTACCGTTTTCTCAAGATAATTAAGCATTTTAAATAAGTAGCTAGTGTAGAAAAACTGGTTCCGGGATGACAACATGTTAGAGACCGGGCTTTGTCAACAAGATAGAATTACACTCTCCCACAATATGTCAACTTCTGATTGCAATTAGTTGTCAGATCTACTGAACTGGTGAAGTTTTTGCTATACCTCTCGCAACGATTTGACTGACAATTCACCAGAAAAATGTAATTCTTAGAGCAGCAAGGTTTAGSTCCCCTACGAGATCATTTGGAGCACTGTAGGGCACTAATAAGCATGGGTCAATTGAACATTGCGACAATGAAAACATATTAAAATACGTTAACTATACAGAATGCYATCTTTATCAGCCAATATAACTCTCTATATAAATTCTCATAGGACTAACAATTTAGCTGGTTTTMTTTTGCTKAAAACAAAGCCGTCTTGGATTAACACACAAGTGATTAAGGAAAACACAGTCTTTTCAGTATCACCACTTAAAATTATATTTTCCTAAGCAATTTCGTTGTCATCATTGGAACAAATAAAGACGTTTCCGGATTGTCTTTGCATTGTTGTTCTAAGGGAATCCTACCGCTATTGCCGCAGGATTATGACGAAAATCTCACTTGAACTCTAATTTAACCGGGAATGGTAGTAACTTCAAAACGCACACCGACAGGACCATCTAATAAATTATCCGTTAGCGAGGAAACGCCTGTTTTTGAAAGCAATTTGGAATTTTTCTTAATGGCGAGGCTTTGTAATCGCAATAAAGAGCTCCAAAACCGATCTGTTTACTTTGTTTTAGTAGGATTTATGTTGTTTTTTTTTAGCGGGAGCTTTAGTTAGGAATTGTTTCTGGAAGGCTATCCAAAACACCTTAGTTTTATAGTGCCATTAATCAGTCTGCTTAATCGAATCCTTGACACAACCGTTATCTTAATATATTAAACACGAATAACAAATAATTAAAACAAGATAAACAAAAACTGCACTACAATTAAGAAGAACTATTCATCCAGATACAAAAATATCATTTTAAACACACTAAAAGATCACAAGAAATATAATCAAATTGTCGATATCTTTGTTTTGAGAGTGAACGGAGCGTGAGTCCTACCTTTGGTGGATGTGTTTTTCCCCTAAGGCAAGGGATAGCGATTATATAATTCGGGCATGGACCACATTAATAGGACTTGGCTATAATCTTGTTTTGACTYTAATAGTCCTTTCTGGAACACATAATCCTTTTTTTTCGCATTAATCCAGCAAAACTAGATRCTGACTTGAATTGTGGTCAAAACACTAGTACGAATGTTTTCTTTGATCAAATAATCACCAAAAATCATCCCAATCAAGGAGATTAAGAACAGTATTTCGAGATTAAGTTGATTCGCACTATTATGCAGAACCTCGTAGAACAATAGAGAACACTGCTCAGATGCATCATGGGTAATTTCACATTTCTAAAATTAACAAAGAAATACGGTTTTTCAAGTCCCTATATACTAGTGCAATTGCGAATGGCATTTTGCAAGTAGCTGTGTATATTTATGCATGTGTTTATAGGTGGTTTGCATGGCCAGTCTTAAGACTCATTACGTTCTCAAGGGTTTTCAGCTGAACCTTGATATGCAAATCGACAAAGCGTACTTATTTCAAGAGCTTTTTGGTTGTGAAAGAAACACTGTTGTCAATCGATGAACTCTTTTCAGTGGCAGGATAACTTATAACACTTCCGTTCATGCGAATTGTTTTATTCTTGTGTTTAGTCAATGCTATCTTTTATGTGTGAACTACAATTCGGACATTTCTCCTCGCAGTGTATTCGCTGTAAACGTAAGCGTACTGAAAAATTAAAGCAAAATGTTAAATAGAAGGTTAATCAAAAAGAAAATCGAAAAGYAAATGCATAGAAATGGTCATAACTAACAGCAGACGTAAGTACATTAGCTGATTAGTGAGTTACACAGTTGCAACGTAATCAAAAACGGACATACGCAATATACGCAAAACAAAACGTAAAGCAAATCCACAATACGTTAATTGGCGTAAAAGCCTATAACGAACGAAATATCCAAAGCGTAAATCAAAGCGTAAATCAAAACTTGCATTCTCGTGTGGACTTAAGACTTTAATTCCTAACAACACAATGAAGCACAGTTTAACATGAAGCACAGATGCACAGTTTAACATGCAAAACGCAAATGAAAGAAGAAAAAAAACCTATATAGCGGCAAAATCTAACAGAAAAAAACAACATGCTTAAATCAAAATTTTCATCATCAGTTTACAAAAAAGGTAAACAAAGCGTGCAGAAAGTAAGAGTCATAACAAACCGTTAAGTGGTACGTGTCAAGATAATGACTTTAAGATATGGGAAAGGTTATCAAAGAATGTTATGTCAATATGATAAACCAATACGAAAAGTAGTGATTGAAGATAGAYAAACATATCCTGAAGAACTGCCTGGGTTTCGTTATACCTTAGCAATTTTGTCGCGGTCTTGCACGATTATACCGATAGTACTTATTATGTAAACTGGGGGGAAATCCTACTCTTTCTTGGAAACTAGAATCTATTTTTGCCTGCAAATGAACTTGCAAGCGGCCTAGGAAAGCCTGTGCTATTATTTTCAGGATTAGATAGAAACGACCTCTCAATACGGAATAGGAATATCGATCATTACGAATATTTGTATCAGAAAAGCTTTCTCCGCACGATTCTCTAAAGCAGGTAYGTACCAGTCCTCTGACCGTGAGGTACACAAGATAGACCRGGCAAGCTTACTCGCCTGTCACTCTAAGAAATACGAACTCCAAAGTCATTATCAGTTTGGCATATTTTATCGAATATGAGTTGAACATACGGCTTATTCTCAGTAACTTGTGAACTTGGCATTATAAATGCAGATACCAATCCAGATAAAAATTATCATATCCAGTTTATATCCAGTTTCCAGGCTCCCTCGATTACTATGATTAGCTTACACGATCGATCATACATGGCCCTTGGATGAAAAATGTTTTTTTTTCCAAAAAATAATAATAATAGAAAT